GAATGATTTCTACAAGGAATTCCATTAAATAATTCAGATCATGAAGCTGACGTACAGCGGATTAAATCTTCTGATGCAGTCATCCTAAATATTATATTGACCCGGAAAAATGTGAGACTTGATAGATAAAACGGTAGTCATGGATTTCCATGAATCAATTGTTAATTGACTGTTAAATATTTTTGATTAATAAAATTTCCCCGTTCAAATTGAATGAATCATTTGATCCATTTAAATCCATAAATCTTCCTCGACATTTATCGATAAAGCGGGAGTTCGGATTATCGACTTGTGAATTTCCGAGAATTCCAGGCGTTTATCATCTCGAGCAAAAGAGATTACCTGCATTATTTACATTTCCCATTTTTAATTGAATTTTCATAAAAAAAAAAATGAAAAAAATAATGAAAAAAGTCAATTGCTTGAGAATATAAAAAAAATTATTCATTAACTTTATTGTCCATCAAAAATATACAATATTTACAAGCTATGTACACGCCAAAGGGCCGTGCCTTCAAGCGAAATTGAGGGTATCAGTCTTGATCCCCTGGAAGCCGCCCCTCCCGATGTGCTGTCCAACCTGGGACGACCTGGGTGGTTTACTAGGTGCAGCGATGAGTTTGCTCCATGCCCTGCAGGTCTTTCCTGACCATACCCACATCCCGGAGGTGATTCCAATAACGAGACTGAGAAAAACCCTCAAAAGAGCGACTTCGAGTCCTGCTGCACTGTAAACGGGTCCCGGTGCGCAGTTTTGGGCTGCTCGACAATCGAGGGCCGCCAGGAGGGCGAGTGTCCTCCACCTAGGTCTTACCGAGGCCTCATGGAGGGCGCAAGCAAGACCCCCGAATGCGGGTAGTGCGTAGAGAAGGGCAAATACCCCTAATCGGGTCATGAGTCTCTCGAGTTTAGTAGCGCTCCTACCAGCGGCCTTGACTGCCCTTCGGACGCGTACCAGGGCAGCACCAGCTACTCCACCGAATGCGCATCCCAGGATAAGGAACATCCCGAGTGGCAGAACCTCGAGCCACAGCGCTGACTCGTCGGATACTTGACACAGACCAGTGAGCTCGTCAGCGCTGATGTTCCGGGATATTAAACTCCCGGCAACGAGGAACAGTGGCAGCCCCCAGGCTGTTGCGTGAAGATAAGGAGCTATATTGTGCAATGCTTCGCTGCTCCACTCGTTCCGGGCGCTGAGTAACCAGCAGCCGCACAGAATTGTCCACCATACACCACTGGAGAGGGCGAGGTAGTACTTGAGGAGCCACCACACTGTGCAGGGCACACTGCGGAGACCATCGTGCACCGGTACGTAGCTGGGGCCATCCTCTTGGTGTGCGCAGCTCAAGATGTCCGCGCCCACGGCTCCGCGGATTATGAAGAGGATCGACAGGAGGTTGTAGGTCAGTGCCAGGAAGACGATCGGTCGTTCCGGGTAGCGGAAGCGAGACGGATCCACCCAGAATGTCAAAAGGGTGAAGAGCGTTGAGAGGAAGCAGAGCCATGCCCATCCGGTCATCCAACGGACCGCGAAGCGTTTGTCTTCGGCGCGGTAATAAGCGTCGGCGTCGCAGCGTGGAGTGCACGATATCTGGAACAGATATTCGGATGGTGATTCGGATCAATTGACTCAGGACAAATCCAAAATAAATGTACATCTTGTTCACTGGAGGTGATTACTTACGGTATCAGTGAAGGGCGTCTGTACGAAGTGAGGTGGACACTGATGATGATCTTTAGCAGCTGGAAGAGTCTTGATACCAGCCCAGGGTGGACGAAGTGGTGGTATAACCGGTGACACCGGCTCTGGAAGGCTTTCCTCACTAGGTGGCTGCACGCAGAGAGCATTGCCTGATAACAGCAACAGGTCATTTAAAGATTTAGAATTAACTTCCGAGTCCTTCGACTAATGGCTGGTCATCGACATGATAATGCACTAACCGCTATCGGAGAATCGGTCGCAGTCCCACATATTTGGCCAGGGCAGGGTGAGACTCGTCAAGGCGGGCTCGCAATCCCGTCTGACAGATAAGCAAAGTGGCTTGCATGCTGGTATCTGCATTGCTACATGCTCTGAGCAAACAGGAGCAAATACAGCGCACAGGAAGAATCTCAGGTGTTTCGAGCAGTTGTAGTGAACAAGAGGCATGAATGCGGCAAGCTGCAATGAACATTGATAAATATTTCATCAATTAGTCATCCAATTAATCGACTGATCTACAGATCTATCTATCAGCCACAAACGAATACCCTAATTACCCGTCCGTATTTTTCTCTCTCTAACTTATTAATTAATTCCACAGGCTATTGTTCGTTTTTCAACGATGAAAAATCATTTTCTCTCATTTTTGTCACAGACAGATGATTCAGATGATGCAGATGATGCAGATGATGCTATTGTGTCTAATCCCCAAAAAAATAAATTGCTTTTTTCCCCTTCAAATTGAGACAGATTGTCACAATCAGGAGTGAATGAGAATCGGTAGTATAAATTGATGAAAAATCCCCGAGAATTTCACAAAATTCGATCGACGTATCATTAAAGAGCCATAAACCTTCCCGTTCTTGGAGTATGATAATTCCTGATGAATGGAGATGTGGATAAGGCTGAGAGGGTAAAGCAAGACGGCTCCACGATATGTAATGAGTGGTGGGCATCAGGGGTAATTATCCCGCCCATTCTTCCCGCCTCTCGGACGTTCACGAGTGTTTCAGGATTGGGCCTTAGAATAGTCCATTATGGTGAGGCCCGAGAGCTCTGGCGCTGGTCAAATTATAGCCCCCACGAAATAACACGGTAAAACCCGTATTCCATTGGTCTTCAGGCCATTGCCTGGCCACATCAGACCAGTGTTTTGAGCCTCTCTCTTCCCGAGACTCGTGCTTCCACATAAATGTTCATTCCACTCGTCTCCTCTCGTTTCTTACTTCTGGAGTTAAAAATGTAGTTTAAAAAAAAATGAACGATGGAAAAGGGCAAGTTTTTACGACAGAAGGATAAGGGGGACAGGGGAATGGGTAACATTAGTCCTCGGAAGGAATGAACGGAAAATAAACGAAATAAAAGGTCTTGCTGAAATCGGCAAAAGCGTATCGAGACCGGTTTCGAGGAGGCCTTCCGTTCATTATTTCGCCGTTTTCCGATGGGTTCCGACCGGAGGGCGAGTGACGAGGACAGGGACATCGTCGAGGAGCTTTTTTTTTTTTCAAACTGCCAGGGGAGTGAAGGTAGACAAGACGAATGCTCTTTTTTTT